TCTCACCTCTTGTCTTACAGAGGGAGGAATTAAGGCCCTGAGATGAAAACAGATGCATCCATGATTACAGAGCACAGTAGTAGCAGAGCCAGAACTCGAACATTCCTCTGCACGCCTGGAAGTATCACTACATTACAAGTACGTTTGACCACAACACTATGCTCTATTCAAAGAAAATATTAACTAACTTTATTGTGGTAATCATTTTATAATATATACAAATATCAAATCATTACACCTTAAATTGTACAACTTAAAATTATACAATGTTGTGTGTCAACTATATTTCAATAAAGCTGGAAAAAATTTTAATTAAAAAAATATATATATACATACAGTAAGGGGTTGAATAACTAAATGAAAGACTTTCTTCTCCAGGAAAAACATATCATCAAGTTTCCAGAAGAAAAGAATTTGGTGGAAACCCATCATCCTCTGTTGTACACATCTGTCTCAATCAGAATAGTGCCAACTGCTGTTGAGGAATTGCCATTTAGAGCAGGGGTCTGTAAACTACTGTCCCTGGGCCACGGCTGTCCAACCACCTGTTTTTGTAAATAAAGTTTTACTGGAACACAGCCACATCTGTTCAGTTACATATTGTCTATGGACGCTTTCATGCTACAGCGGCAGAAGCCTGACTCAACCAATACAATAGACAATACAAGTGGTTCATCCAAGGCAGGGCTCAATCACCGCCAGCCTGTGAATTCCTCCTACCCAGAAGAAAGCTAAGGGTTCAGCAAGGAGGGGTCGTTCATTCAGTGTAGACCTCTTAATTTTGCCTGTTTGATGTTCATGAATCCATGTGGTCAGAGAGAATATTACAGCTGGTATGGGAGCAAGATGTATCATAGAGCATACGCCATTGATCAGAGAATTCTCATTCGAAAATATTTTCCTGACTCTATCAAGATCACAAAAGATTACAAATACCATAGGTCAATGTTATTCAAAATGATATTTTGATCCTTAAATCCCATGAAAGATCAGAAATGCTGAAACCAATATCTTAAGCCCTCAAAGGACCTACAGTTTGACCTCCAAGTCTAATAGAGGAATTAGGTCTTCCCTTAAGAACCAGAAAACTCAGGGAGGGGCTGAGAGGGTAAGGAGATTGGAGATCAGTGAATCAGCCTCTGAGTAAGTGAGAAAGCAGACTCTTTGACTCGTAGAACGAGCTACTTAGAATTTTCTTAAAGTTTTTGAGGTTGTGCTCATTGGGAAATTATGTTATTCTTCAGGAAATATTCATTCTCTTTGCACCACCACCATAGACAGGGCATACCTCCCAGCCTCAATGACTTTGAGTTTGGCCAGGCAACTTACTTTGGCCAATGGGCTGTAGGTGAAAGTGACAGGAGGTCAGTTTTGAGCTTTCTGTGTTTCCAATCTCACTCTGCCACTCCTGCATTCACCACGAGAAGTGGGGTGCAAGTGCCTGTTGCTTCTTCAGCCTAGATCCAGGAATGAGAGATGTGTGGAGTACTCTGGAAACTGACATGCAGACAAAATCCTACCCACAGACTGAACCTGACCAGCAGACCTGTAAGCAAGAAATAAAACTTGTAGTTAGAGGCCACTGATTTGGGGTTTATTTGATGCTACAGTAGATCTGATTAATACAGTTCACTTCTTTGCCAATGAGGCTGTGGAAATAGTAGATTTATTGTCAGGTTTGTGAATTAAACTCTTATTAAAGCTTATTAAATATCCTTTATTTCATTTTGCACATAAGGAAACTACAATCTAGAGAGTGAGTTGCCCAAAGGCCCTAACAAGTTAGTGGCAGAGAAAAAGAGAAGATTCCTGCCTTGTAATCCACAATTCTTACCCTGATTGGTTTGATTTCTCAGTTAGTCAGTCTTCTTAATCACTTGTAAACTTAACATTCTAATCGAATAGACACTCCAGGTCATGAAAAATCCCAGAAATTGTTATCAGGAAAAAAACCAGTTGAATTATTTTTGGATGAAATAGATACCAATATATCAACATTGCACCACATGTCCTAAGAAATGCTCTATGAGGTTACAGCCAGATGAGTCTTAAGAGTAAACACAGCCACATTTTATTTTTCAGCCTGAGAGTTGGCATTCACATGCTCCAGATGACGTTCAGATTATCTTTCTAAGGAGTCTAAGTGGTCAGCACTGGTGCTACTCCCCAAATGACTCAGAAATATGTTCAAATTAGGCAATAGAATACATGATTCTTATCTGCTAGTCCAACGTCAGACAGCTGATTTTCTCAAACATTCCTAGAACCTCAAATTAGGAGAAAGTTTTGAGGTTCTGTGGTTCAGCTTTGTAACTAATGGAGCTGGAGTTTGAGGTTCTGAAAGATCTGGTTTAAAACTCCACCTCCGCAGGGGCTGGCCCCGCGGCCGAGTGGTTAAGTTCGGTCGCTCAGCTACAGGTGGCCCTGTGTTTCATTGGTTCGAATCCTGGGCGTGGACATGGCACTGCTCGTCAAACCACACTGAGGCAGCGTCCCACATGCCACAACTAGAAGGATCCACAAGGAAGAATGTACAACTATGTACTGGGGGGCTTTGGGGAGAAAAAAGGAAAAAATAAAATCTCTAAAAAAATAAAAAAAAACTCCACCTCTGCAAACTACCAGTGCATGCCATCGAGAAGATTAAGTTTCTCCAAAGCTTGGGTTTCCATCTGTAATATGGAGATACTCCTACACTACTTCGAAAGATAGCTATAGAATTAAATTAACCAGGCATTCGAAGCATCTGGCACAATATCTGGGATAATGTAAGCATGCAATAAATATTAGCCATTAATATCATTATTATTATTATTATTATTATTGGATCCAAAAGGATGGCCATCTGGCCTACTTTTTTTAAATAAACTTTATTGCAGCAAAATTTGCATACAGTAAAATATACCCTTGTTAAGTACAGAGTTTGGTGAGTTTTGGCAAATTTATGCAGTCACGTAACCACTGCCACAATCACAATATAAGACATGTCCATGACACTAGAAACTTCCTTCCCGAAGGTTTGAAATCCATCACTACCAGCCACAGCCCTAGACAATCACTAATCTGCTTTCCACTATCTGGGATGGTATTATAGATTAATTTTCCCTGTTCTAGAGTTTTATGTAAATGGATACTGAAGTATGCATTTTATGTCTGAATTATTTCCCTCATATTTTAAGATTCTTTCATGTCACAGTGAGTTTCAATAGTTTATTCCTTTTTTTGTGAGTAATATTCTGTTGTATGGCTCTACCACCATTTCTTTATCCATTCACCTGTTAACAGGCATTTGGACTGTTCTACTTTGGGCCGGTTATGAACAAAGGTGCTCTGAACATTTGCGTACAAGTCTTTTTGTGGACATAGGTTTGAATTTTTCTTGGGTAAATACCTAGGAGTAGAATGACCAATGGATGTTGTATGAATGTTTAACTTTATAAGAAACTGCCAAAGGCTTCGTGAAAGTGCCTATAGTATTTTACACTTTCACCAGCAAATCTACGGGAGTTCCTATTGCATACATCCTCACTGACACTTGATATTGTCAGTCTTTTTAATTTTGGCCACTTTAATTATTATATTGGTAACTTATTGTAGTTCAAGTTTGCGTTTCCCTGAGGAAAAATTATGTGCAGTATATTATCTGATGCTTATTTGTCATCTGTATATCTTCTTTTGTGAAGTGTCTATTCAAAACTTATATCCATGGGAAGGGAAGGGCAGATATTTTATTATTATTACTGAGTTGTAAGAGTTCTTTATGTATTCTCAATAGAAGTCCTTTGCCATATAGATAGAGAAAAAATATTTTTGCCCAGTCTGTCCATCCAGCCTGTTTTAAACATATTACGGACATGGCACTCTTCTCCAAGACAATTAAATCTGAAGTTTGACGGTTCTATTTATTAGGAAGCTTGGGCTTACAGAGAAGAAGAGACCATTTCTTTATAGCAAGGATTGGTAGACTATGGGCTCTGAGCCAAACTTGGCCCACAGCTTGTTTTTGGGAACAAAGTTTTATTGAAACACAGCCATTCTCATTAGTTTACATATTGACCACATCTGCTTTTGTGCTACAAAGGCAGTGTTGAGAAGTTGCAATAGAGACCACAGGGCTTCCAAAGCCCAAAGTATTTACTATCTACCCCTTTACTGAACAAGTTTGCCACCTGCTGCTTTATAGCATTGGCCTGTTTGTTCCAATCGTGCTTTTGGATAACAGAAAAGAACCCTGTCACCTCCTTCAAGGATTTGAAACAACTTCTTTGTCTCCTTCCTATTCTTCAGGCTAAATAAATTATCTTTCAACTTCTCCTGAAATAGGTTTTCAAGCACACACATCATCCTTGCCTCCATTCAGTTTGTCAGTTCCATTTAAATTGCCATGCCCAAAGCTATCACAGACTTCCTCAGGATCAAATAATTACAGGTGATGAGAAAACCATTTATTCCTTTAACTTGGACTGTACAGGTTTTTAACAACCTCATCCTATGGATGGCTCCAATTAAGAATGTGGTCAGTTATAACCCCAAGTGTTATTCTACTGAGAGAGAGCTCCCTAAGATTCTTTACTGATTCATTCATCACTTCATTCCACAAGTATATGTGAAGTAACTTCTGTGTTCAATGCATTGTACAAATGGTTATTTGAATCTAAATGCAAGACATTGCATTCATACCTGTTAAATATTATGAACTGTGACTCACATTCCAATCTGTCATATGTGGCATTGTCTATTATCATGATTATCTGTTGTTGTGCAGCAATCACTCCAAATGTAATGTTTAAATAAAACAATGACAGGGGCCGGCCCAGTGGCACAGCAGTTAAGTGCACACGTTCTGCTTCGGTGGCCCAGGGTTCACCAGTTCAGATCCCGGGTGCGGACATGGCACCACTTGGCAAGCCATACTGTGGCAGGCGTCCCATATATAAAGTAGAGGAAGGTGGGCACGGATGTTAGCTCAGGGCCAGTCTTCTTCAACAAAAAGAGGAGGATTGGCAGCAGATGTTAGCTCAGGGCTGATCTTCCTCAAAAAATAAATAAATTAATTAATTAAATAATGGCAATCTACACAGTTCATGATTGTGCAATTTGGGCCAAACTCAGCAGAGAAGGCTCATTTCTGTTCTACACGACATCAGCTTGGGTCCTCAGGCACCTCTCTCTCTCTCTCTATGTGGTCCATCATGTGGTCCCTCCAGCATGGTAGCTTCAGGGTCGCAATCCAAAAGCACATGTCCCAAGAGAGAGCCAGAGAAAAGCTGTATGACTGTCCCTAATCTAGCCTCAGAAGTCACTTATGGTCACTTCTCCGGCATTTTATTGGTTAAGGCAGTCACAGATTTCTGCCCCATTTCAAGGCAGAGGGAAAACTAGACTCCACCTCTTGACAGAAGGCCTGTGGAAGGAGATGCGTGCAGGTCTTAAAACCTCCACAGCCACCATTGTGTAGATTGGAGTGATGGTTCTCAAACTATGGCCGTGAGGAGCTCTGATAGTCCAGGAACTGACTTGAGTTTTTCCACCATGAAGACAGAACTTTGACATTCAGTCTCCTAATCATTTCTCTCAAGAAGTAAATATATATTTCTGTGTACTTCCTGCCTGGTGACAGCCACCTTTGGTGCCCACTCAAACCTGCCCTTGAGCTCAGAAGCAAAGAAACAAAGTATTCCACTGGCCTGTGTAAAACAGGCTCTTTCAAGCTACATTTCTCCCGGTTGGAGCCTGTGGCCTGGAGCTCAGCCTCAGGAAGACTACCTGGCCTTCTTTAAGATTAGATTAAATTCCAAGAGGAGAATACATGTTCCTGTGCTCCTTAGGCCTCTGAAAGATGCCGTGAAATTTGGCTGATGTAACTGGATAAAAGGAGCTCTTTATAATGAGTAAATTCTGCCAAGACTATCTCCTTGAATATCTCCTCAGGCCGGCAGTGTGATAATGCACCCTCAGTGCATTTAAAGTAAACTTGGCTTTTTAATGTTTAATTAGTATTATTTTTTTTTAATTTGAAGCATGAACCCTATTATTGCTCGAGGAAATGTAGAAGCAGCTTTGAAGTCGCCCACCGAACTTGGAAGAGGCAGCAGGGGCCCTAAAGAGCACGTGAGCTTTGAGATAACACCCCAGTTCCAGTGACGGCACTACACAACCGGGGGGAATCATGTCACCTCTTTGTGCCTCAGTTTCCTCATCTGTCAAGTAGGGAGAAGCCATTGAGAAATGCTCACCAGTGTTCCAAGTGACTTTCACTAAATCTGGAGAGCAGAAATGCTCCAGGCTTAATTCCTACCCTCCAGCCCCCAATAAGGAAAAAGAAAGAGCAAAACAGAGAAAAATAGGACTTACTTATAACTAGAAACGAAACCCTTCTTCCAAATAGCTTCACGCAACCTCTCTGAGCCTCTGGTTCCTCATCGATAAACTGCAGTGGCCATCCTTGCACTGCCCATATCCCTGGGCTGTTGAGCTGATCAAATGAGATGGTGCATGCAAAGGAACACCATAAACCATAATAGCCTCTGCATTTGTCAACAGCTGTTAAAAAAAAATAGTAATAAAGAAAAAAATACCAAGTTGTGTGACTTGACCAGGTTCTAAGGCACCAGTATGGAGAAAATGGGAAGAGAGGGCAGCAGTTTGAGCTCAGCCAAGCTCTCACCCTTTGAATGCATAAAACACCAAAGATTCACCCCAGATATCTGAAGCGTGCGACTCTGTGATTCCCATACAAGCATTCCAGGAGACAGCAAAGAGAGGAAGGAAGGAAGGGAAGGAATAGCTGGCTCTGACTGAGCGTCTGCTGAAGAGGGAGGAGGGGAGAGTGCCTTGGAATATGAATCCTGTTGCCTCTTCTGATCTTGAATATAAGACATCTAAGCTGCATGGCCTTGGCAAGACAGTTAAACTTGCTGTGCCTCAGTTTCTTCATCTGTAAAATGGGGATAATAATAGGGTCTCCCTATGGAGTTGTTGTGAATATTACTTACTGCAAGTGCTGAGAACTTGAATGCTTCTCATATAGTGAACACTCACTATGTGTTATATTTATTTATTCATTTATTCCATTCAATTAAATATTTATTGAGAGTTCACTCCATGCCAACTCCTGTTTTAGGAACTGGGCATACAGTCACCAGCAAAACAAAGTCCCTGCTCTTAAGTAGCTTGGAGTACACTGTAGAGCAGATCCAGAAAGACAATAGACAAATTAGTACAAAGTATGTCAGTTCACCATAAATACTATGGATTAAAGACAGGGTAGAGGGAATATGAGATTAAGGGGTTGCAATTTTAGGTCAAGTGACCAAGGACACCTCCTTGATCCTGTGATATATTGAGCATGTTGGCAAAGCTGTAGTGGCTACCCAGGTGCCCTCTCAGGCTGAAGGCACCCATTCTGCCTGCTACCAGGAGCTCTGGCTGCTGTCCCAAGACTCGGCCAAACGGAGCTTTCATCTCATCCCTTTTCTCAGAAGGCAGACAGCATCTGGGACCAGTCAACATGGATGTACAAAAGCCCCATCACTTATCCTCAACTGGGACAACTCTGCAGGGTCATCCCAGCTCCAGGGTCCCTGTGAGATTGCCGGTGGTTTCCACTAAAACTGCATCATGGCCCAACTCCTCCCTCTGCACAATCCTGCCTTCCTCCCCATCTCAAGTGTTCTTCCTGAGCTCACTCCCCAATTAGCCTCCTCACAAACTTCAGTCTCAGTTTCTCTTTCCCAGGAAATGTGACCTAAGACCAAGGCTAAGTAACTTGTACGATATCTTTGAGCAGAAAGTGGTGGCGCAAGGATTTGCTCCTGGGGCTGCCTGCTTCCGTGGCCTTTAGCCTCTTCTGTTATCAGCGGTAGTGCATTCCAGTCTGTTCCCGTCAGTGAGGCAGAAGAAAACTTCTTGGAATTTCTGGGCAACCCAGAGCATGAGGATGGCTGTGGCTCTGGACAAGAAAAGGAGAGGACGTGTTAATTTCAAGAGCAGAAGACATTGACTTGCCCTCATTGAAACTCAATGAGGATGAAAGTACACCAACACATTTTGAAAAGAAACTTGCAATATTTTAGAATTGGACTGACTTTTTGCTACAAATTCTTAGTGCTTTTGCAACAAATGTACAATGGTTTGCTTTATATAAAAATTTTTTCAAAAACCTCTTTCCAGGGGCCGGCCCCATGGCTGAGTGGTTAAGTTCACGTGCTCCACTGCAGGCGGCCCAGTGTTTCGTCAGTTCAAACCCTGGGCATGGACATGGCACCGCTCATCAGGCCATGCAGAGGCGGCATCCCACATGCCACAACTAGAAGGACCCACAACTAAGAATGTACAACTATGTACCAGGGGGCTTTGGGGAGAAAAAGGAAAAAAATAAAATCTTTAAAAGAAAAACCTCTTTCCAAGTTAGTTCTAGCCTTAGTTTGATTTTCCATCAAGTCTGTAGATATTTTGAGATGTCATTTATATCTTGGGATAAGATGACTTTTTGGGAGCTCAAAAATGTGATCTTCCTCCTAATCACAATGATGCACTTACTTTTCTTTTTTATTAAGATTATGATAGTTTACAACCTTGTGAAACTTCAGTTGTTCATTATTGTTAGTCATGTTGTAGGTGCACCACTTCACCCTCTGTGCCCTCCCCGCAACCCCCTTCCCCCTGGTTACCACCGATCAGTTCTCTTTGTCTATATGTTAACTTCCACCTACGAATGGAATCATACAGAGTTCATCTTTCTCTGTCTGGCTCATTTCACTTAACATAATACCCTCAAGGTCCATCCATGTTGTTGTGAATGGGACGATTTTGTCCTTTTTTATGGCTGAGTAGTATTCCATTGTATATATATATACCATATCTTCTTTATCAAATCATCAGTTGCTGGGCACTTAGGGTGGTTCCACGTCTTGGCTATTGTAAATAATGCTGCGATGAACATGGGGTGCATGGGACTCTTGGAATTGCTGATTTCAGGTTCTTAGGATAGATACTCAGTAGTGGGATGGCTGGGTCATAAGGTATTTCTATTTTTAACTTTTTGAGAAGTCTCCATACTGTTTTCCGTAGTGGCTGCACCAGTTTGCATTCCCACCAACAGTGTATGAGGGTTCCTTTTTCTCCACAAGCTCTCCAACATTGGTCACTCTTGGTTCTGGATATTTTTGCCATTCTAACAGTAGTAAGGTGATATCTTAGTGTAGTTTTGATTTGCATTTCCCTGATGATTAGTGATGATGAGCATCTTTTCATGTGTCTTTTGGCCATCCTTATATCTTCTTTGGAGAAATGTCTGTTCATGTCCCCTGCCCATTTTTTGATCGGGTTGTTTGATTTTTTTGTTGTTGAGCTGTGTGAGTTCTTTATATGTTATGGAGATTAACCCTTTGTCAGATAAATAACTTACTTTTACAGCTGGATACTTTAAAGGATAACTGCCTTTGGCTTCAGCCTGAATCCCAGACCCAGCAACATGGTACATAGGCATCCCAGACTGGCAGAGGGAACACAGAAATTCTCCAGATGTTGGGAAAGTCTTCCTGAAGCAGTGTTACAAGTGTCTGGAGAGGAATCTAGGTGATAAAAGAAACTTAGAGTCACTATAACGTAATCTTATGGAGAACAAAAACCAAACCAAACATCCAGGACTCAAAGAAAAGAACTAATCCCAAATTCACGTAATTTCTTCTGAGTACTTACTATACTCAGGACCCACTCTAGCTGTATGCTTGCAAACTGCATTCTCTCAACACCGCTGTATGGAAGGGGGCATTACATTTACCTGAAAGATGTGAAACCTGTTCAGAACAGGTAAGTGACTCGCTGAAGTTTACACTAGTGAGTAGCAGAGTGGTTACTTCAACCCTGATCCATGAACACCCAGTGCTATGCCTAAAAGCCAGAATTCATTTTTATAATCATCAGAAATACAACTCAGGAAAGAATTATGCGGTTCTTTCACAGTCCTATTCTTTCCTGTCCTGAGATGCAACATTGCAACCCTTCTTAAACTTGAGCCAGGCCAGTAGATTCTTTGGGTTTATCTGCAAGTCTGTATAAAAGTCTCACCCACTCTGGAGGTATTTGTAAAGACTAAAATTTCTTCTGCTCTCCCAGAATCATTTAGGCCTCCAGTGTGGCATTAACATCAGGAGCTGATCTCTACGTTATCAGGGCGGATGTAGGAAATGTTACAAAATTTCTAGTTGTGCAGCATTCTTCAGACAAGTTCCAGCCTTCCCCAGAGCCAATGAAAATAATAATACATTGGTTTTGAGTAAGAAACGGTTAAGAGAGAGGCCGAATTATATCTCTACTAAGTGTTAACTACTTTGAATTTTACTGATGCCATGTTGGCCTCTTTCCACTTTAGAATCTTGGAAGAAGGTCTAAACCCTTGTAATGCATCAGAGCAAAAGTTACCTAATCTCCAGCTGAAGTCTATAAGAATTCAATAGGATCCTATCAGACAGAAATATGGGGTATGGTATTGAAATATAATTTTTAACTTCTGTATTCTTTGAGTATTCAATGTCTCCAAGCCTCAACTTCTTCATCTGCTAAATGGGAATATCTATGGTAGTACACGTATCATGCAGAGTTAATGTGAACAATAAATGGTTCTTTTGGCTTGCTGGTAAGGTATTTGCTGAGCCACCTTGAAAACCGTCTATCAAGTATTGGCTGCTTAATGAAAAAAATTCTAATCATGTTCCCCATGCCTGCCAAGCTCAACAGTCTTTCAGAGTTGCCCATTGCCCAGTGCAACCACCTGAGCTTAGTCCTTGAGGCCTTTCATGACCTGGCCTCAATCTCCTACCTCTCTAGGCTCCAAGACATCCTTTCTTCCTTCTCACCACAGTCAAAGATGCACCATCCCTGAGACTTATCATTGACTTTCACTTTGCATTGCTCTGTTCAATCAGCTTCCCCTGTGAAGAATGCCCCTCACCCTTGCTTCTGTGTGCCTGGTAAAATCAAGTTCATTATACAAAGCCCAACTCCCAAAAGTCCCCCTAAATAAACTTGCCCTGCCCCAATCTCACCAACCCCGGAGCTCCACGGCACTTTGCCCATCCCACAACCAAGACCGAAAGCTTCCCAGGCATACTCCAGGTTGCCTCTGGGATTGGCAAAATCATGATCCAGCAACCAGGTCTCCTGGTTCCCTCTCCCGCCTCTTTGCACAGATGCTTCTGTGAAAAAACACAAAATTATTCTAGGAACTGTAGGAGACTCTGATGAACACCAAAGACAGTCATTCCATGTTTATTAAAATTAAGCTACTATTAACAAAACCCAGCTATTCTAATAAAATTGTGGAAATGTAATTGACTGGACCCTATGATTCACTCGTGGCTGGCTCCGTCTCCTCAGATAAGGTAAAGAGAGCTGGGTACAGAGCTTATCCAGATAATAAACAAGAACAAAAATGAACTAGGGAGCTATAATTCCATCAAGCATTTCTGACAGTGACGGAAACCCCAAAGCAGGCTCCTGGGGTCACAGAAATGACCACCTCAGTGAAACCATTAGTCCCTGCAATATTTGGCTTTGATTCTGACAGTGACAAGACTCAGTGACAAGGCCATCGGCTCCCGGAACAGACTGGGTTTAAGCAGCAAAGCTGTCCACAAATGAAGGATTCACTTTATGTCAATGACAGCAAACAAATCTCAGTTTAGTGCTGCCTTGGATCTACAACCTCAAAATAGAATTGCATCTCCTCCAATTAGAAGACGTTCCTGTATGCAAAAATTGAAACACTTCAGGATGCAGAGATGTCACAGGAAGAGAGATTTTGCTATTATGTCCAACTAACCATAAATTCTCATCAGATATGGGATTCCAAGAGGAGCTGTTGGCATTGAGAAGTGGGGGCAAAGTGGTGACTCCGCCTCAGAATAAAAACATGCAGTCTTTTGCATAACATTATACAATTATCTTGATAGATCTTCACAAAATCCATAAATGCAGGCAAGTAAGCTGCAAAATTGTCCCCATTTCACCCAAACAAAAAGTGAGCCTCAGAGATCTTGACTGAATTCCCGAAGTCATGCAAAGGAGAGGTTCAGGGCTAGAAAGAGTCCCCAGTCCAATGCTTTTTCCAACGCCGCTAAACAGCCTCTTGACCCAGGAGGTTTCAGGCACCATCAAATACAGAAAGAGAAAACCACAAACAGTGAGCCGCTATAAAACGAAGTGGGAAGTTATAGATTCCAAAAGAAACTGGTTGTTTCTGAAGTTGTTAGGCAATCATAATAACTATTCATAGTTATTATTATTTATAATAAAGCTGGATTAGTTTTTCCTATCTATACGTTTGGTCTTCACTCTCCATGGATTGTGTCTTACTAGGAAGAGAATATAATATATTTAGCCGTGCATGGGCTTTGGCTTCAGACAGACTTGGGGTCAAATACCTGCTCTGCTATTTACTAGCTGTGTGACTGAGGGCAAGCTACTTAATCCGTTCGAATCTGAACTTCCTTATCGGGAAAATAGGGGTGATAATAGATCCATCACAGAAATAGGGTAAGGGTAAACAAAATAGCAGGGGAAAAGTGATTAATGGGCATACCTGGTGCATAGTAAGTGCTCAAAAATTGTCCAAATCTAGAGAAACAAACAGCTAGACAAAGTCTCATCTGCTAATGATGAACAAGTCAACCACAAGCTCTTTCAAAGAGTGACTTCATTCAGTGTGGCCCCACCAGGGCACTGCTCTTCACTCAACGTCTCACACTTTTGTGAAAAAGGTACACGTTCGTGATTAGAGGATCAAATCTTGTCTTCAGGTCTCTGCCATTGGGCCAAGAACTAAATTAGCCTTTTTATCCACCAGCGAAAGATAAAGTACTCCTTTTCTTTATTAATGGAGTTGTTGACTTATTAGTTCAAATGAAACATGTCCTAAGCATATGAAATAAGCCCTAACACTGGGAAAGCACTAGATGTCAGTTAAAAATTTTTGAGCATCTGCTAAGTACCAGTCTCTCTCCAAGGCACTTCCACCCACATTAGCACATTTGAGCCTTGCAAACAACTCTGCAAGTTAGTTCTGGAAAGAAACTATTCTCTCCATTTTACAAGTTAGGAAACTGAGGCTCAGGGTTGCCCAAGGTCACATAGCTCCTACTGTAGCTGAGCCAGGGTTCCAACTCTTACATTCTTCCCCTTTCCTTTAGGACAATGGCTTACTGCCATATGCCTCCCAAGTCACCCTCATGTCAACAACCAACAGAAAGCACCCAAGAGTGGGCACAGGGGCCCAAGAGTAGGAGGCGCCCCTAGCATTGACTCACTACTAGGGGGAATCTGCAGCACACTCTGACTCTTCACTTGTGAAATGGGATTACTCTTTGCTTGCTTTAGATATAAGTCAGTACCAAATTGCCAAGTAGCCTGATTCATCTCAGAATTTCACATGTATAGTATGTTTCCCAGAAAGTCATATGGAAGAGTAGTCTTTAAGTTTGCTGTTTGTTATTTTACTAAGAGAAAATCTTCTTTTCACTGTTGATGGAGTGAACACTATGCGCCAGGCACTCTGCTAGGTTCTGGGGATGGAGAAACCAACCAGACAGACTCCACTCCTGCCCTCATGGAGCTGATAGTCTACTGGGAAAGAGTGGACATAAACACTAAACTACAAAAGTGATTATATAATCGACATTCTGTTGACTGCCACATAGGAGAAGTCTAGAATGCAATGAGAAGTTATCAGGGGACATACTCAACTCTCGGGGTCAAGAAGGGCTTCCCTGAGGGAGTGATGCTTAAGGAGAAAGCGGAAGGATGAGTACAAGTTAGCCAACTGAGAGGTGGACAATGCCTCTCCAAGTGAAGGAAATGGCACTTTCAAAGTCATGGGGCAAGAGACAGCATGACATGTTTGAGGAACTGAAAGAAGACCATGGTGGCCAAAGCACAGAGACCTAAAGTGGAAGGAAAGGATATGCAAACTGGGTCAACAGGAGGAAAGCACTGCTTTCAAAAGCACTAACTGGCAACGCTTTTAGTCACTGTGAATGTGTGTGTTCAGCCCAATGTGCATGCCAGCTAATGTATCTGTTATTTACAGAAGTTAGACCTACACAAATGAAGGGTTCATTTGATTAACTTTTCCTTCTTCTTCTTTCTCTTTCACCTTCTTTTTCTTCTTGTTAATCATCTTACTTTCTAAGTATGGTAGAAAAAGTAGGACAAAGAATTTCCTAAACAGCTATAGGTGTTCAAAGTGTAGAAACTTAGAGTTGTAAGATGAATAAGCTCTGGGGATCGAACGCGTGCCATGATGAGCATAGTTAACAATACTGTATTGTATACTTGAAAGTTGCTGAGAGAGTACATCTTAAAAGTTCTCACCACAAAAAAAAACGATAGCTATGTGAGGTGACGGAGGTGTTTACTAACCTTATCGTGGTCATCATTTCGCAATATATACATATATTAAATCACTATGTTGTACACCTTAAACCTACACAATGTTATATGTCAATTACATCTCAATAAAACTAGGAAAATAAAACTCAAAAACAGTTTAAAAGAAGAAAGAGGGAAAGAAAGAAAGGAAAAAAGAAAGAAAGAAAAAGACCCTATGTATTGCACAATCTTGTGTACTTGTGTCTGGGGGAACATGGTATAACCTGAAGCAAACCAATAAACTTCAGGGATTTTTTTCTTCTGAAAAACAGGATTGTTTACAACTCTCAGAGCGCTTATTGGATTAAATGAAGTAATGTGCACAAATCTACTGAGTACAATGGCTGGCACTACTAGTTATGTACCAAACGCCACCTTCTTTCCTATCCAAGTGAGAGAGGAAACAGGAAAGGTGTGTTGGTTAGGCTAGGCTATCTTCTATAACAAGCAAACCCTATGCTTAATGGCTGGAATGTGATAGAATTTTATTCCTTGCCCATATAACATCTAAGATGCGTGTTCCTGATTGGTGGCCAGCTTTCTTCCACACAACAATACAGGCACCTTCCTTCCCTCTCAAGCCTCCACCATGTTCTTCTGCATCAGGCTGGCAGAAAGGACAAAATGTGGAGGAGTACATATGGACCAGGCCTGAATACCAAGCCTGGGAATATCCTTTCTCTCGCTAGGGCCCCATCACAGGATCACAGCTGACTGCAGGGAATAAAGTCCAGCAGAGTACCCAGGAAGAAGAGAGAGCAGGTGTAAGGGACTGGCCAGCAGTGTTGGCCACCACACCAAGATGAGAGCGAGTTCTTTGTTATTAGAACAGCCTAAGTCAGTCAATGTACCCACAAATAGGTATTGCACACCTCCTTCCTGCAACACCTCCTTGCAGTCCAGATATCAGTTTGGCAATGACAACAAGGTAGACAGTTACCTTCATTCCAATCTGAAAGCTCCTAAGCACATATTAGCAGCCTGTATCCTCCCTCTTCTTTATCTCCACAATGGCCCAGTCTTCAGATTTTCTGGTGTTCTCTCCTAAAACATGTGAAAATCCTTCCCCCTTCTACAATGACAGCTACTGTCCTTTATCTTCTCTCCTCTGAATTGTGGCAACAGTTTCCTTACGTGTCCTTTAGCCAGACTGGCTCCAACTCCACCCACTCCCACCTCTGACTCCAGTCTACCCTCCTCAAGGGCCACCAAAGGGCTGGCCCTCAAATGCAAATCCCAAATGCAGTTGTCACTGGCCTGTTTCAAATCCTATTTGGTGCATCAAGTCTGCAGGATAAAATTCAAACCCCTTAATCTGACGGTTTACAGGATCTGGCCCTGCCTCCTGCAGCCTCACCCTTCTGAGCCTCATCATATACCTAGCTGTCCAGCAACACCAAATTACTTATGGTTTCCTGCACACAGAACCAACAAGCTTTTTCTCTCCTCCAGGTCCTCTTGGCTCTCATAGACCTTCTACTGGTATGCACGCCTTTAAACTCCATCTCAGCCATCCCTGATTCCTGGACTCTGATCCTCCCCTGCTCCTCTGTGTTCTCAAAATACCCTGTGCCTGTATTTCTCACTGAACTATTGCTGAGGTGTGTTCATTTGTATCGCATCCATCGATTCCACTAGCCCTGAAACTCTCAGCAGGTAGACAACTTTGAAAGCATTGAATGTCATTCCAAGGGCTGGGAGGTTCAAACCGTAATATAAGAGGTATTGCTGAGAGTTTTTGATAAAGGGAGTGATACTATATAGTCAATAT